TGTTACTGCAAGTTTTTGTATACACGTATAACGCTTAATCAATCAAAATTATCTAGAACTTAACAAGTTTTTAAATAGGTACTTTCTGCTCCTAAAAACGACTACTTCACGTAATATCAATACATTAAAATAAATAACTTAAATCAAAAACACGCCCGTCTACGTGAACCTGGTTGAGGGTTTATTTGCAACACTCCGACTAAAACAAATAGTGTACAAGATCGATGTTTATTCGGGACACTTGTGCTGTTGTTACACGGACAGACCCAGAAGTTAAGCTGTGCAAATATTAAATTGCCCTGATGTTTGACGTGTGGGACGTTAGATAACTTGACATCGACTTGTAATTTTCATCAGTTTAACTATAAGTGATTCTGATTTATTACTTATTATTAATTTACTTACAAAAGGATGCTTAAGAAGTTATTTATATGATATAATCTTATATATCTTTAAACGAGCAAGTCTTGTATATATACGGCTCCAACGATTTTCATGAAATTTAGGACACAGGCGGTTTCGGGGGCGATAAATCGATCTAGATTAGTTTTATGTCTGAGAAAACGCGTATTTTCGAGTTTTCATGCAGTTTTCTTTTGCATTATTCCACGCATAATATGGGCTTGGCCATAACCAAATCGTGGTCCAGCGGCAAAGGTTTACAACGTTTTACTTTTGTTTTTTTTTTTAATATTTATTCAAGTTTTTAGTAAAAAAAGAAAGAAAATTGTACTTTAGGCCAAAAACCCCGAGCCAAGCTCGGAAAATTTTCTATTTTTTTTGTAATTAATTGTAATTTTTTGTAATTAATTGTAACATAAAGCTATTATTTTTTATTAATATAAAAATATAAAAGTGTAGTTATTTCTACTATATGAAAATGGTTAAAGAATTGTTTTTGGTTGTTGGAATAAAAAAAAATATCTAAAAAAAACATATAACAAAAAAGGGGCTATTTTTTGCTAACATAATATCATTCTATGATATAACGATGGCGTTTGACGTACCTATTTACATAATTTTAAATTCAGTTCAATTCAACTCTTTATTATATAACTGTAAAGTAAATAGATGCAAATAAAATGTTACTACAAACATACTATTTGTTACTTATATTAACACAATTGTTCACCCTATATCTCTTAATCCATTCAGTCTCTTAGACTCGTTCCCTAATCGTATATCACACTCGACTCGCTATTTATATACTTCATTAGCAGTTTATTAAACGCTTTTCAAATAATTCATTAGAATTTCCATATCAATTTATAGTTTATACCAATCATAGAATCATAAATTATAAATCAAGTATAATTATTTTCAACTAAAACAAGTTAGTGTACTCATGCGACCGCTTTCTCAGTAAACAAACTAAGCGATAAGGTTCAATTCGTGCTCCATAATTAAAAACAAATGCTAATCTTTTAATCGTATCAAAAGGGGCCTACAAATTGTGCTTAGTAATAAAATAAGAGCCTTTATGCTTGTTGATTGTAACAAAATATATAGAATACCTTGTAATAAGTAAACTTAGTGTTATTAGATCATAAATAAAACGAGTACTTTGAACTGTCTGAGTAAAAGATTATGGGAGTTGCAAAAGATTTACAACTTGCTTACCGGATTCCTTTCAGCAGAAATAGGTTTAATCGTCTACAATATCAGGACCCTTTTTAGACTAATAGCAGATTTTAAAAATAATCCGGTTAGTGAATCTTTTTACAAAATATAGCCTTTGACCGGATATTTTGTGAATGTCGCTTACTAATGATTATTAGATATTTAGATATGTACGAGTCGAACATGTGGTATGTAGTTATAGCGGATTTCTTATTTGTAGAAATATTTTTCATTTAGTTTTTTATTTAATTTGCTGAAATTGATATTCTTTGATTTTTTTTATTCAATGGCAATTTTTTGGCACCTGTATGAATTACTTTCTCTAAGTACAGTTAAAGTACAATAATTGGTCTTAATTCTACAAATTCTGCAATATAATAACCAAATGTTATTTTTTTAAATAGTTGGTATATAATAAATAAATCAATGACACAACAAAAGAAATTAATACGTAATAATAACAAAAATATCTTTCTTAGATTTACCCGAATATTTGATATTTTAAATAAAACTATCTTTTCGGATTTTTTCGCGGATTTATTTGATTTTTGTTTCCCAAAAACCAAATACCAACAATCCAAATAAATCCGCGAAAAAATCCGAAAAGATAGTTTTATTTAAAATAAAAATATCATTGAGATATCCTATATGGTTAAACACAACAGCAACTAAAGTAAATGTATGTATGTATATATGTGTGATGTTTTGTATGGACCTACATATATGTAGGCAATGGTAGCCAAGTAGTAACGCACTCGCTTGGGAAACTGAGTAAAGAGTGTTCAAATCCCAATCTTGCACCTCTAATATTTTCATGTGTAAATCACTTCCAACATGATTACCATTTGTCTTACGGTGAAGGAAATCATCGTAAGTAAACCTGCATGTCTGAGAGAACTTAATAAGTTTTCGAATGACATATGAAGTTTGCTAACCCGCACTTGGCCAGCGTGGTGGACTAAGACCTGATCCCCCTCGTATTGGAGGAGGCCTCTGTCTAGCTGGGTCGTTAAAAAGGGCTGAAACTACATATATGTATATTTATTTATATACTGGACAAAACCAGGGTAAGTTGTCTGTATTAAATAGATATTTGATGGACAATAAAAAAAGAACAAAGGTAAATCGGAATGGAAAAAAACACGTTATTGAATAAGCCTGTCGAAGTGCCGGGCTTCAGCAAACAGTCAAAAGTAGAACAAATTGAATATAACAATAAATAAAATTTTATACACGTTTGGATTGAAAGAAAATAAAAAATAAAAGAAATGTGGCGGGTCAACGATAAGTCATTGAAGTAGCTTTTGAGCTTATAATATCTTTTGTGAGAGAATTTGATAAAAATAACCGAAAATAAAATATCTACCGTCTTTTGCAAGTATTGTACTACAAGTGCTAGGTTGATGGGAGAGTGGGTTCAAGTTTGATTGTGGTATATACCTAATATTATGTATTACGTAATTAGTTCATAGGATCACCCATGTGTACATATATTTTTTACCTGTCTTTCCATCCGTCTATTACTTTTTATTCCTGCCGTATTTAGAGCTAAGCCATTTAGTTTTAGAGCTAGCTTCTGAAGGTCGTTGTGTTGAATCGTTTTGAGTTCGATTTTTTTCTTATTGATCAAAGTTTAATAGAATTCCAAAGACAAACGTCAATAGTTAAAAAAAAATTAAACCGACTTCAAAAAAAAATACTAAATAGTAAAAAATAACTAAACGGGGGTTTTCATTTACTATAGATACCTAATCAGATATTTTCGAAGTCGTTGCCATTAGTATTATTGGTAGGTTCAGAGATTAGCATGTTCAATCAAACAAAAAATAAACTTACAATTTTCTATTTTAGTATAGATATTAAAAATAAGTATTAATTTTGTTTTTTTAAATAAACATAGCAATTATTCAGTAATAAATATGCAAAAAGTACATAAAATTGTCACATGTTATTAAATACTCTTCCGGCAGAATCATAAATAAAAGCTGTTATACGCACCCTTTGTTACTTTATTAGTATTTAACATGCATGGAGAAGTAAATATTGAAACAGTATGATGGTAGAAAAATTGTATACAGATTTTCTGGGAAACGAAAATTTTTATACATTTCATACATAAATAAATTAACCTATTGACAGTGTAGATACTTGGTGGAGCTTTGGTGTTTTTAATATTTTACTATTGCAGATCGCGGGTTTGATTTGCAGAGGAATGTTTTTATGGTATAATTAAGAATAAATTCAACGTTATAGTGCACTAACCGACATAAAGTATCACTGTGAAGTCAAAGTGTAGTAAGGAAAAATACTCTAAGCTCTCTCTAACTGAAAGAAGTGAAAAGTTGTATTTTTATCACAATATATCCAAAAATCCTAAACAAAACAGTTTTATAGAGACACTACAAATAATAAAAGTAATAATTAAGTACCAAATCGACAGCTGATCAGAAAATTTTGAAGCAACTTTTCATTAACAAAAAACCAAAAATATTTATGGTTTTGTAGTGCAAATTTTCAAATAATTATTATAGAATAATTTCTACAGACCTTTCTCTCTATAAATATTCTAAAATATATTTTTCATTACATTACATGAGATCGCTTTAACAAGCACTTCAAGGCTTCTTGTCTGAAAAACTCATTCCATCTCTTAATTCGTTCTAGATTGGATTAGTGTATAATGTGGTTGCACAAAGAGTTAACTAGGCTAGATGTAACCAAGGCATTATTATAATAGTTGTTTAGTCTTCAGAGAGCACGTTATACAGTATATCCAGATTTTTCTAAATATGTATTGACCATAGATATGCCATTTCGTTCACTAGATTTTACCTGCAGCACCACTCGCATAGCAGGTACGTCGAAAAAACCTATATTATGTAATTCCTTAATTGTCTTGATGGTCTGCTGCAGATCCAGAGGTCCTGAATTCTAGTACCGGGTCAGGCCAAGTTTAATTGAGTTTTTTTTATTAAGAAAGTCTCAGTAATAGCAAGTATTTCACGCCCGTGCTTTAGAGTGCACGTAAAGCCATTGGTCCTGCACCTAATATCTTATTGATCCGATAATAGTGTCGAATTATCGGACTATGAGATAACATGAATATCACTTGTGTTTGCATGAATACTTGTGCAATATAATATCTTCTTTTCAGATAGCTAGTCTTAGTGAAATTAGCCTCCGTGGCTGAAATTGGTCAGAAAATAGAAAAGAACTAAAAGAACGAGAGAATAAAAATTTGTTTAATTCAAACATGTTCCATGTGATCTGTTCTCATCATAATAGTGCAATAATATAATAAGCATGTACCTGCTTATTGGGTCATCAAGAAATATCCGACAGGGTTGAAGTTAAAACAGCGCACGCAATAAATTCGAAGCATGCACTCACGTGATAATGTCACAAGATCTTCCTACAAAAAAGAAGAGAAGAGAAGAGAACAGAAGAAAAAGAAAAAGAGAATAAGAAATATATTTCAACTTGTCTCTTCTAATCATAATAGTGCATTGATAATCGCGTGTACCCGCTTATTGAGCACTCAAGAAAGACCCGACAGAGTTGAAGTGAAAACAGCGCACGCAATAAAATCGGAAGCACGCGATCACGCGATCACGTCACGAACGGTCACGCCGGGATAATGTATTGTGAGAATTGTTGAGCAATGACGTGTTGAATATAGCCTTCGATGTATTGGACATACATTTTAATTGAATTCATATGACATGAAGCCTTTTCGTTTATTTGGGGTTTAATTTATACTTTTAAATAAGAATTAAATAACATGCCTTTTTGGGACATTAATTATACGCCACACTATTTAGTTCCATGGTAAGCTACGAAGCTTGTGTTATTGATACCAGATAGTCGATACACTACACAAATATTACTTTTAATACATACATACATACATACCTATTATAAATATAAACACCCGTGACTGGAGTACAAACATTTGTGCTTATCACACAAATTAATGCCCTCAGCAGGACTCGAACCCGCGACCATTGAGGAAGCAAGTACAGATCACTACAACTGAGCCAAACGAATTGTTAACATTAAAAGAATGACTTTATATGAACTTAAAAGATAAAGAACAATTCATTTATTTTCTGTCTATCCATTTGTTTTAATTGACTTAGGCGCGGAACAAATAAATAAAGTATATAGCGTATTCCATTTTTTTTGTTCGTGGCTTAGCAATATATTCAGATCACGGTATCACTCCATTGTATTTTTTTGATATTGTAGTACATTTTTGTGTTTTATTATATAAAATATAGTTCAAAATATTGTCATATAATATGTATATTAAATTTGCTTCCTAATTATACAATAAAGTCGTATAGAAAATGATAATGGTTCCACAAAACATCACACGCTCAATTTTTTATTTCATGTACTATCTAGACAATGTATTTAGAGTATATAAATGATTTAACATATTTTACATGAAGTAGAAATAAACTATCAATAACATATTTAACATAGTAACATTTATTTACACTATTCGACTGTGAAATTGTATAAAAACACAAACCTTTCGTGTATTTTTCATATAAAAGACTATTTTGAATGGTTTTTTATTCGACCATAGACTACACTTTGTTATTATTGGAGCTGTCAACACATGTCAACATGTCCCGGACGTACGAAAGCGTAGACGGATATTGCTTGGCTCGGACACTGACCACTTCCGCTTATTGACAATGTACTCTTACAGGTGCATATACTCACCGCTGTTATTTTAGATTTAGTTTTTTTTGACATTTCTTCTGTTTGTATTGTTTATTACAATATTTTATTAACTAGCGATTTATCCCCGCTTTCCTCGGTTATTAATAGTATTAGTATTGACTAAAACTTGCTTCGAATTCCTAGATGGATAGCTTAATTTTTATACCTATATAGGTTAGTATATACTAAATATTTTTTATGTACACACACGCACATACACATATAGTATGTGTTTGTATGTTTGTCACTCCTTCATGTTGTAACGGCTGAACTGATTTGGATGAAATTTAGTGCACAAATAGGCTATGACTTGGAGTAATATATAAGGATTTTAGATACCCAGGAAAACACCCGAACAAAGGATATGTCGCTATTGTTAAATAAGAATACCACAAAAAGTTTTCAGTGCAGTCAGAATCGCATCCGCGATGCGACGCAAATAATATTTTGTACGTGTAAAGTATTAAAAAAAAACTTATAATATTTCTTGTACTGTGCTCATAAGCTTTTTTTTTCAAAAACAACAAAAAAGTTAATTCTCGAGATTCTATGCGCAAATAATATAAATTTCTCATATTATATTCCATCATTTTTACCATATTAGAGGATGATTTAAAAAAAACTATTTCCTCAGATTCGAAAGTATAGATAATACATTAAAATTAAATGTTACAATTTAAATATTATAAATAAAATTATTATGGACACAAAATTATGTCATAATAATGATATTATTAACAAAACTATTATAAACACAACAGCTGTTAAACTACATTACCATTTTGCATTCGTAGTGTTACTTAAAATCGCGCAGTAATAAATATTCGCAAAAGATATGTGAAAATATTCACAAAGTGACCCAGTTTGGTGACAGTGACTATTTCCGTAGTGTAATGGTGTGCAGCATAGAGTAATCCAAATTTTAATTCAGACAGTATATCCATACTAATTTTATAAATGTGAAAGTGTGTTTGTTTGTTTGTTTGTTTGTTTGTTTGTTTGTTTGTCTGTCTTTCTTTCACGTTGAAACAGCTTGGCGGTTTGGCATGATGATTTTTGTGTGAAGATAAGTAGTTGGACAATACTTTTTACCGCGGGATAATATCTCTTTCCCATGGGAAAACACGTTATAATGCAATCAAAAAATTGTTTTGATCAGAATTACTTGAAACTTGGTATTAATGCTCTTCAATAAAATTAAATAAATAGATGTTATAGCATTTTTCGAAATTCATCCTATATGGGAATTCATCCTAATAGGTGATGAAAGTTCGTATGAAAGTACCTTTTTAGAGATTTTTTTTGTAGTTTTAGCGCGAGTGAAGCCGCGGGTTCTGCTAGTAGATAATAAAAAGACTGGCGTAACACTCATTGAGCGAAAAAAATCATGTTTCTGACCAAATAAACGAAACTCAATAGATGTTATCAAGAACACCGTATATGCCAATTTTAAACGTACTAGTGGTATTTGCATGTGACTTCCCTTCTTCATCGAGTAAAAAATAATACTAAACTGTTTTGTCTTTACCTTTACATATTATATAAAAAAAATACTGTTTCAGAAGAATTTATATTGATTATTGCGAAATTTGTTGCAAAATTTAAATTAAAATAAACTTATTTTAAAATTAATGAAATCACAGATTGATAATTAAAAAAATAATTAAACTCTTACTACTACATTAAACCGAGTTCTGCAAATTTTATTATATTTTTAAACTTACACGTTAACATGGCCACTTACATTGCGTATACGTGTGCTTGAGTATTTTTAAAATTGACTTAAACCATAAATATATTAAAGTAGGATGGACAAAGGAACATCTAAATACAACTGCAATAAAAACATTGATAAATATAAAAAGATCACATTATTACCATAAGGTAAAGGTCTATAAAGACATACTCGTAACTCTCATGTCTGAACGTAAGCTACTCTGTTCAAATGTTTTATTTTCCAGTGAAATTATGAAAATGATGCTATTTGTGACATGTCCAACTGCAACGAATGCACATGTATACTAATATTATAAAGAGGCAGAATCTGTTTGTTTGTTTGTTTGTTTGTTTGTTTGTTTGTTTGTTTGTACGCGCTAAACTCAGGAACTAGTAATCCGATTTGAAAAATTCTCTTTGCATTACATAGCTCGTTTATTGAGGAAGGCTATAGGTTATAAATCATATAATATGTAGTCTATCTTACAAAACGTACCTAGGGACGAACCCGAGCGAAGCGAGGGTGAATCGCTAGTAATATATATATATATATATATATATATATATATATATATAAAATAATATAAATTAAACCCAAGCCATACGTTCATATTTAAAAAATATTAATCAGCTGCCTATTACAGTTCAAAAGATTTACCCTATAAAGGTAAGCCAGACATAGAGTTAAATCATAATAGAATCCCGACCTTGAGATCCGAAGTTCAAGTACAATTATTTTTATTCAGCATAAAATTCTTTACAAAATTGCTTATTGAATGTCAATAAGTCTGTCTGTTAGTTTCGAAGGAAAATGTCACAATTCAGAGAAGTACCTATCGGTGAAAGAAACTTAGTGGAAAAGTAGTTTTTTTACTAGAATGTGAATCGACTTTAAAATATTTACTATTCAAATTTGTCATTTATGTGTGACTACTGTTCAGATTTAACCTTTTATATCAAAAAATATGATAAAAAGAAAATTAAAACCGACTTCCAGGCACTAAAATGTAAAAAATAACTAAACGGAGGTTTTCATTTAGAATAGACTACCACTCTGTGGAACCAGCTATCGCCGGCGGTCTTTCCGAAACGCTACGACTTGGCCACCTTCAAGAAGAGAGCGTATTCTTTCCTTAAAGGCCGGCAACGCATCTGCAAGCCCTGCGGTGTTGCAGATGTCCATGGGCGGCGGTGATCACTTTCCATCAGGTGAGCCTCTTGCCCGTTTGCCCCCTTAGTCCCATAAAAAAATATATAGATATGTAATCAAATATTTTCGAAGTCGGTGCGAGCCGATGCAAAGCAAATTACGATTTAATTTCGATACGTAAAATACATATTTACCTATTAGATATTCATATCTTAAAAAATTGTCGGCTGGCAGCGACTTCGAAAATATCTGATTACGTATCTATTCTAAATGAAAAAAAAACCGTTTAGTTATTTTTTACATTTTAGTGCCTGGAAGTCAGTTTTTTTTTATTTTATTAAAGTTTTTATTTTTCCATTTTTAGTGTAGACGTAATAAGTAGGTAATTTGTAAGAAGAAAGTTTTTTTAATAACATAATCGATTAAATAATTTATATAAAAAATATATTTATTGTTGATTTTTTTTAAACCGCTCGACCGATTTCGATACCTATAGATATATTTGTAAGTAATTTCCACGTTCCACTGAAACTCCCATTAAACATCATATTAACGGGCTGTCCCTTTTACGAATTTAATTTTATTTTTCTCTTCAAACGCTATCTGATCTCATTTAGATGATATATTTCTACCGAATTTAATTTAAATATCCTTTTCTTTTAATTTAAATATCGTCAAAAATAAGGCATTATTTTTCGTGAGTAACTTTCTTTATTACAATATTTTTTTATTCTCAACAAAATTACATAAACATAACTTTTTATACTAATTAAATAGTATTAAATATTAAAAAAGCATCAGCATTCCAGTAAAGTTTTTTTTTTAATTTAATTGACATTGTAAATAGAACGTCCCGACGTTGTTCTATCGTAAAACATTCGAAATGTTGGTGAACAAAAATCTAAATAAATTCGCAAAGGAAACCAAAAAAAATGTTTTATTTCAAAATGTCAAATATTCGCGTATATCTAAGAAAGTATTATAATTCTATTGAAGTTTGAGAAGCAGTTCGTAAGTGATCCATGAATAAAAATT